CCATCAACACAAGAAGTGATACACAATGGATTACGAAACTCTCCCTCTTTCTCACCAAGTCTTCCAAGTGTGGTGACAAACTGACCTGAGGTCTCATACACTACAATACAATCACCACTCAAATCAGACACATACACATACTTGTCGGCAATATGAAGACCTGATGGCTGACGCTGTATTCCCCATTCTTCCTGACTAAATACTCGTATGAATTGGCCACTGGGGTCCATTACTTGCACTCTCCCATTAAGCAACTCAGCTACATACATGTTCCCAGCAGTGTCAAATTTGACATCAAATGGTGTATATAATTCACATTTTCCTTTGCCTGGTGAGCCAATGGATCGGACAAAGTTCAAGTCAAGGTTAAACACCTGAATGCGATGGTTATTGCGATCGCACACATACACTTCATTGTCATACAGTGTTACTCCACGTGGATCATCAAACTCCCCTTCCTTACTGCCCCTCCGACCAATACATTTGGTCAGCTCACCACTGCTAGTGAACTTCTGCAGCTTGTGACAACTGCTCACATAAATATTGTCAGTATCATCCGTTGCTATGCCTGCAGGGAGTATCATCTGATCTGGACTGTCACCAAGTGATCCAAATGTTCGAATTTTCTGTCCTCTGATGTCAAAGATGGACAATCTATGACCCCCACATTCACTGACAATCATCTCCTGATGACTGTTGAAAGCAATTCGATATGGACAAGCCAATCCAGTCACAGTCCTCACTGGGTGGCCTAGTTGTCTGGGGTCAGGGTACACGGTCACAGTGAAGGGGCTGCCATTGATTTCTCTGTCGTTTACTTGAACGCGGAGTTTGTGTTGGCCTCGACTGACTGGTGTGTACGACACTTCGAATTGGGAGGGAGACGTCATGGCAACCGATACAAGCGATTCATCGGGTGGAGTTTCTTGTTTCTTAGACCAAGGCCACTTTGTTGTAGTTCTTGTGGCTTTTGAAACGAGCTCAAGTTGTGCGGTGACATTCAGTGGAAGTGAGTATGGTCTACCACTAGAGTCAGTTAGTTGGACTAGGATGTGTGTTGGTTGGTTGACTGTGGCTGATGTTAGACCAGGTCCACTAACCTGACATGTGTAGGATGCTGACTGGTGGGACACAATAAAGGGAGAGAGCAATGAAAAAGAGAAATGGGGAATAATATGGTGATCATTAATAAGAATATAAGTGCAATACTATATACATTCTTAAAGATATTCATAGCCTGTGTGATTATGGTTTAATATTCATAGCGCACCTTTCCCCCCAGTTGCTGCTGAAGCACAGCTATCTCCCTGTCCTTGGCCTGCACTAACTCAGTCTCCTGCAGTCAGGAGGACCTCTAGTCACAACACACAACTCCACACACTAGACTAACTCTCTGTCTCATCTCCTGAATCTGCTGCTGCTCTCTCCTGATAGTCTCCTCTGCCCTCGCCACCTCTGCCTCCTTTCTTCTCAGCTCTTGCCTGAGCGCTTGCTTCTCCCTCTCACTTTCCTCATCCTACAACAGTCAACATAAAATATTATATTCCCTAAATCTGCTATACAGTGTGCTCTATATAATACCTTCTGAGCAATCTCCCTGTCTTTTGCCTGCACACGGGACTGGAGATGAGCATCCTCTGTCACCAGGTCTCGGAGAACACGCTCCAAATTCTGGTAGAATCACAACACATCAACTCATACCTAATGAGTGTGCAGTCCCTCACCTGGTTCCTGGGCTGGGTCTGAAGAGCTCGTACCAGTTCACGTTTGTTCCTCTCACTCCCATCATCTCTAACACCAGCTCTGGCCTCCTCCAATAGATGTAGTACCTCACTAATACCTGGCCTTTTGGATGGAAAATTTTGCAGGCATTGCTGGATCAGCCGAATGAGAGGGTGGTCCCCACGGAGCTGGCCACAGGCACGGAGTTGCTCGTTTACGTATCGCATGTATTCAGCACGTCGCTGTAGTTCAGTGCGAGCTACTACCACCCCACTTTTCTCATCTGCAAAAGTTGGAGCAAGAGGATCACAGGGGAAAATTTCACCGATTGTGAAAATGGCAACAACCCCAATAGAAAAAATATCGACACTGGTATCGTATTTTGACATTTGAATGTTGGAAGCAGTAGGAGCAGTGGCCTCTGGAGGCATGTAGACTGAAGCCCCAGGTCCCGTTGTCATGGTAGCTGCAGCTCTCAAACGAGGAACGATACGAGCCACGCCCAGGTCCGCTATCTTGGCCACCATCTCCGAGTTCAGGAGAACGTTTCTGGCCGACAAGTCGCGGTGAACTATTGATCTCTCGTGGAGGTAGGCTAGGCCGCACGCTACGTTGTGCAGTACGGAGCACTTGAGAGCCATGGAGAAGAAAGATAGCGGCGTGACGGCGCCCGACGAAGGGGGCGGGTCCGGAGCCAGCAAGTCGTGAAGACTCGTCAGCAGTCGCTCCATGACGAGTGCTGGTAGTCGAGATTCTGGAAAGAAAGCGACGCCCAGAAACTGGACGATGTTCGGGTGGCGGAGGGTGCTCATCAACTGACATTCCCTCTCGAACTCGGCCGCGGCTTTGGCTTCTCGCAAGAAGGCGTATATTGTTTTGGCGGCGGCGCCCACAGGAACGACCACCTCCTCAACTTTTCCGTAGGCCCCACAGCCGATTTCGGTGCCAGTGAGCTGGACGTCGGAGAGAACGAAGGGCCTCAGCCCTGGATGATCGCGGAGAAACTCTTCAGCCATGTTTCGATTCCCGTTATAATGTGAGCCCCACCCTCTATTGCTCATGCGCAGTCCCCATATAAGGAAGAAGAGTGGGCCAATGAAGAAGGAAAAAAGTATTATTAAGGGCTTTCCAGGGATCTGGCGATTCAAAAGTAGAAACAGTATTCGTACTAAGGGAGTTACTATTGGTACAAAGGTCAGCCCAATCATCCCTGGAAGATTCAGAAGTCGCACCAAAGGACCTGTTTGCACCGGAATCAAGAGATTTCCTTTTGGAAAGAAAGTCAGCTCAGTCACCAAATTTCGAAGCCGCAACAACAAGGTCGGTAACAAGGGACCTATTCGTTCACCCTCCAGTGGCAGAAAAGGAGTGCTCTTTCGTAAAAAATTGAGTTTAATTGCCCCTAGAAGATTTGGAGGTCGCAACAACCGAGTAAGCAGCATTAAGGGACCTATTCGCAGTGGTACCAAGAGAGTTCCTTCTGGTACAAAAGTCAGCTCAATTAGAAGATTTGGAAGCGGTACCAAAAAAGTTGGTAGCAAGGGGCCCATTCGTTCACCCTTGAGTGGCCGCAAGGGAGTGCTCTTTGGCAAAAAAGTGAGTGGAGGTCGCAAGACCACGGTCGGTACCAAGGGACATGCACGCACTAGTACGAAGGGATTTCCTTCTGGTAAAAAAGTCAGCTCAGTTGCCCCAGGAAGATTTGGAAGCCACACCACCAAGATTGGTAGCAAAGGACCTATTCGTTCTTCTACCAGTGGCCGCAATAGATTTCCTTTTGGTAAAAAAAAGTGAGTTCCATTGCCCCTGGAAGATTTGAGTAATCAGCAACCGAGTAATCAGCATTAAGGGAACTATTCACAGTGGTACCAAGGGAGTCCCTTTTGGTAAAAAAGTCAGCCCAATTGGAAGATTTGGAAGCCGCACCAACAGGGTTGGCAGCAAGGGACCCATTCGTTCTTCCACTAGAAGCAGAAAGAGAGTGCCCTCTGTTAGCAAGGCCCCAGCCCCTGTGCGAAATAGGGGGGAAAGCAGCAAATATGGGCGCAAATGGTGAGAAACTTGAGTTGTTTCTTTATCAAAGACATTTTGGATAGGACTATAATATATAGACTGTTATACAATTCATAACTCTACTCAATATTATGTATGTATACTCAATAACATCATAATTCTTTGTGAGAAAGTAGCACTGTAATCCGTAACTATTTAGCTGTGAGAGGAGCCATGGAGTCCCCATGGGTATGGTTTTTAGCACATCTTGGGGGTTGTGTGTGAATGGGCATCATATTCTAGCTAGCCGTGTTAGCACAACAGAGTGGGTGCTTGTGTGTGATTGCTCAAAAGGTATCCAAGTCTACAGATTGTTTGTACATATCCAGTGATCGATTAGGCATCCCCGTTGGGAGGTTAGCCAGCAAAAGTGGGGGAAACATGATTATATTTACCCTGTGAATAGTATATGTGTTCCGGTGGCATCAATGTTGTCGAATATTAAGCTGTATTACCACTGCTTCAGCTGTTACCTCTTGGCTGCTGGATAGAGTATGAACAATAATGACGGTGACCATCTTTGCCATCTCTGCAACAACACACGCATGACACTGGGTGCAACTGTTTGTCCATGAGACGTGCTCTATTGTGTCCTTTTACTTCCATGGTACTTACTCTTATGGAACTAGAAGGACATACATGATAGCTGATCAAGCGTGTCAAAGGAAACTTCAAGCCATATAGAGTGTAGAGTCTATTCCCTAGAGCCTTGTGCATTGGACAGAGAAGGAAAGGAAGCTACTATACCTGCAATAGGGAATTATTGTGTCCATCTTTGGTAGGATGTCCTGCATCAACATAACAATAGGCCTTTCCTTTTCTTGATATGGTCCGTTTATATACGGCATGTCAGGTGAGCTTTGTATAAAAGTGGCCAACCTAGACAGGCAAAAGCACATTCAATCCTATGCTGAACTTGCTGCAGTTAGAAACGACAAAAAGCTTTACGATAATATGTGGAGAAGTCTGTTAGTTGCAGCTTTGCTGTTACTAGGGGTAAGTCTCTTTTTGTCTGTGTGCTAGGGTAGGTATAATACCTAAGTAAAGGGGTATACAGGCAAGCAAAACATTGCCAAAACCTCTAAGTTCATTGAGTATTAAGGTTCCATTCCATATTCACAGGTACAAGCAGAGGAGGATGACGTTGGGTGCATACTGACTGCTGACCAGTGTGAAGCCATTCAGAAGGTGTTGTATGCACCAGAGTGCATGTGTGTCTGCCCAGATATGCCCTGCGTTGGGTTTGGGATGGTGAATAACGACTCTTGCACATGTGAGTGTGGTGCTGAATCAGAGACCAATGCCCAGTGTACTGCCGAGCAAGTGTTTGACACAGAAAACTGCGTATGTGTATGTGAGACAGTGGAAGACTGTCCTTCCGGACAAACTTTCCTTACGGACACTTGTTCTTGCGGCTGCTCCACGGCGTGTGTGGCCCCGCTGACTGAACAAAACGAAGACACCTGTGTCTGTCAGTGTCCCCGTGCACTCAGTAATGCATGCAACTCCCCAGCGGTTTTTAATCCAACTACCTGTCAGTGTGACTGCACTCTTGAGTGTGCCGAAGGAATTACTCTTGATCCAGAGTCCTGCTCGTGTGACTGCAGCGTACTCTCACCCTGCCCACCAATGTTGTCCTTTGACGCCTCGTGCAACTGTGAATGTATCCCAATGACATCGTGTCCTCTGGGGCTGGAACTAGATTCCAACTGCACGTGTGCTTGCCCCGAATCCCTCTCCCAGTGTGAGCCTGGGCAGGAGAGAAACCCAATTGACTGCGAATGTGGGTGTCCTACCTCCCTCTGCAACGAGAACGAGGTGCAAGATGAGTCAACCTGCGAATGTGCGTGTCTCATAACAGAGTGTGGCGAGTTTGAGGTCCTAGATACAGACAACTGTGAGTGCCAGTGCATTCTCACTCCAGAAGACTGTGGTGAGCTTCAGACGTTCAACGAGGAGACCTGCCAGTGTAAATGTCTGTATGTGGAGGAGGACGAGTGTGAGTGTGAGGAAGTAGAGGACTCGAGTCCACGGACCAACACTCGGTCGACCACCGGAACTCGCACAACCTCCCGCAGCAGACGCTCACACAGTACACGGACCACAGGGTCAGGGTCTCGATCGTGCACTTGTGGGGGTACAGGGAGATCAAAAAGAATGACTGGAATGACAGGTCATACTGGTACGACTGGTCATACTGGGACAACCGGTCATACTGGGACGACCGGTCATACAGGAACAACTGGGCGGACAGGCACTACTGGGCGCACAAACACCAGAGGAACTAGTAGGACACAAGAACCTCTACCCGATCCCCCAGTGTGTCCTGAAGGAGAAGAATTTGATATGACAGTGTGTGCTTGTGCAGTTCCAGAGTAACTGTGTACATAGTTGTACTATAGGTGGACGTATGTATAATACATGCTTCCTATGTTGTTATCTGAATGTGTGCCTGTTATCCATCCAACATATCATTATTTGCCACATTCTGTGCGAAAATAGCCTGCATACCTTCTTAAGAGCAGCAGTGTAAATCTCGCATGAGACTATCTCCCGCACCCCTTTCGTATATGGACCATCATCCACTTAACTCTGTGTCAACAGTCTCGGTTTCCCACATACCAAAATTTATGGTTGGTTGATTGTGCTGTATTTGGAAGACGAGGTATGCCTGGATGGATGCATTCGTAGGATACTTGGAGAGGACCGAGAAAGTACTGGCCAGAGCATATATGTCCCTCTCTTTCAAATGGAGTTGCAATTTCATCTATGAACAATAAGCACGTTATCATAATGAAAGTTTGGCAGTGGCAGCAGTACCAATTGGGTTATTTCTCAATTGCAGCTATGAGGGTGTGTAAAGGAGTAACTGTGCTAGTCCAAGAGATGTCCCATATTACATTGCATGGAGGATCATCTACCTTTCCTTCATAAAGTGCAAGCCTGTTTTTCACTTTCAAGAAGGCATACATTCTGCCAAGCTGAGCTGAATATGTCCATTCAGTCTCCTGGCAATGGGGTTTTAACAAGAATGAGAAAGTAAGAACTTGGCTTGTGTTAGTGTACAGGAGTCTAAAACTGGGACAGCTGGTGAGAAGAGTTGTAACTACCACATTCAGGCAAGGTTTAGGTAATTATATATACAGACCCCACAACTATGCACTTTAGCCCACGCAGCACAATCCTGCAGTGGGTAGGGCGTGAGCAGGGAATTACCTTGTAAGAGAAACAAGTACAACACAAAGCCGCTTCCATGCAGCAAGGTCCAACAGTGTGCACACATCCCCAGTGGCAAGGACACCTAATGTTTGCACATGCCCAGCATTCCTCGTCATAATTATATTTGTGTATTGCTTCACTATTGAGCCTCTGAGTGGAGTTTGGCATTGCTTGCACCACTGGACAGAGCATGTGCACCAACCCCGCGGTGAGGTCAAGTGGACGACTGGACTATAAAAGAGGCAGAGAAATTGCCCTCTGTCCTTGAGAGAGGTTTGAGCACTACAAAAAGAGATATAGCCTGGCTCTGGAAAGGCATGGTTTGGCTGGAGCTGCATCAGTTGACTGCCTCTAATTGAATAAGTGCTCTTTGTTCCCTTGCCGCCCAAGCTCAGATCTGTCCCAATGATGTTGCAGCAACGCTGGAAGACTCTGAATGAGCTGTTGGTTGTGCTGTTTGTGACCCTGGGTCTCTTGATGCAGGTTGGTACATGTATATACAGATTCACTAGTCCAGTCTCACTTTAGACGTAACTACAATTAGTGTAAGACAAAACTGGATTGTGAACAGCTTTTCTTGCTTGGTGAGAGCCAAGCATAGCACTGTAAGCAAAACACTAAATTGTATCAGGTACGCCTTGCACTTAATAGCTATCAAGTAGCTATAATCCATAAAGGTTTGCATACCCATCACCAGAGGAACATGCACTTGCAGCTATCATCATAATACTGGGGTATACCAATGTGCATCTAGCTATCTTCATATTCCCTGTACAGCTGGTGGAGAGTCAAGACCCACAGACACCTGAGGACTGCATGTTCCCACTTATCATTTTCAATCCAGAGACACTCATGTGTGAGTGTTCAGACATTGGGTGTGAGGACACTGGAATGGTCTTAGACCCTGTCAACTGCTTCTGTGTGTGTCCCCCATTCGATCCTCCCTGTCTCCCTCCAATGATAGAAGACCCCGACCAGTGCATATGTCGCTGTCCTAACGCGTTCTGTATTGGAGGACAAGTACAGAACCCAGAGACTTGTGTCTGTGAGTGTCCCACGTGTCCAGTTGGGCAGGAGCCGACGGATCCCGATTCGAATGTCCCTGACTGCACATGTCGGTGCACTGAAGTCGACTGTGGGGCTGGTCGACAGCAGAATCAGGAGACATGCGAATGTGAGTGTGCACCTGTTGCCTGTCCAGTGGGACAGACACAAGATCTCCAGTCTTGCCAGTGTGTGTGCGACCCAGTGGACTGTGGTCCCGATCGAATCCAAGATCCACAGACTTGCAGCTGTGTGTGCAGGGACAAAGTGTGCCCCGACAATTTCGTACAGGATCGAACGACTTGTCGGTGTGTGTGCGACCCAGCCGGCTCAAACAGGTGTTCCTCGATGCAGTTTCTAATGCTGGACACTTGCGAGTGCATGTGTATACCGAGACTGTGCAGACCAGGGCAGAGACAGAACCCAGACTCCTGCGAATGCGAATGCATACCCGAGGACTGCCGGGGAGGCGAAACGCAGAATCCTGATACCTGTGAGTGTGAGTGCGTCCCCATAGACTGTGGTCCTGGTCGTGTTCACGACCTCGACACCTGCACATGTGTCTGCCAAGAGAGAGATTGTCCTGATGGCTTAACTCAGAACCGACGAACTTGTCAATGCGTGTGTGACATAGGCAACCTGGATTGCTGCTCTGACAAGCAGTTCCTACGACTGGACACCTGTGAATGCGAGTGCATCCTATATTTTCTGGGATTAGTGACATGCAACTTTCCTGCAGTTTTTGACCGCGATACCTGCCACTGTTCAGTCTGTGTGTGCGATGAGGGAGAAACAACTCGCCCCAGGACAACTGGCACTCGCAGCAGAATGACAACCGGCTCTCGCCGTAGAATGACCACTGGCCCTCGTAGTAGAATGACAGAGACACAAATGGTTGATACTCTCCAGATATCTTCCAGCGGAGGCCTTTCAGCATTGGGTGAGGGGAGCACTTTTGGCGACCTGGACACACCCAGACCTGCCACACGCCCGAGAACCGGCACACCCCGTTCAATGTCACCACGCCCACTACCTCCTCCTCCACCAAACACACCCCGATCAATGTCGCCACGCCTACCTCCTCCACCAGACATGCCCCGTCCTATGTCACCACCCCAACCTCCTCCCACCACACCCAGAAGGACTACCACAAACACAGTCATGGATAACCTCACAAACACACCTAGGAGGAGAACAGTTTCGAGAACTACCACAAGAACTAGTTCAACTAGTAGTTGGGGAGGTGTTTTCTGCTCTTGTGACACAAATGATATCACAATGAGTACCAGAAGAAGCACAAGAACAACTGGCACTTCTCGATCAACAAGAAGGAAAACAAGAAGAAGAAAGACGGGGACAAGGAGAACAAGGAGTGCAGCAGAAACTCTGACACAACATCTGCGAGAAATCACTTGATACAATAGCATTTCTAAGATAATAGTCTATAACCAAGTATACAGTATGCACTTCATACTGCCCCGAGGTCTATATTATTATTATATTTATCCATAAGAGCACGAATACACGTCCCCATTTTGTGTGCATAATTGTACGTCAGTCATGTGTATAGAAGTCCATAATTAATTGTTTTGTAATTGCTCTATTCCGGGTGAATGGTGATGTTGGAATCACAGACTGGTGTTCCACTCACTGCATGCCAACAGAGACAGAGATCTGAAAATATTAAGCAATCAATTTCACATTCACTTGGCAGGGAGAAGAGCGCTAACAAACGCATAGCAATGCCACGGTCCAACACTATACAAAGGGAGCAATCAGCCCTCCCAGATTCAGAAACGAACACACCTATGGCACTGAGATGCCATCTAGGGGAATGTACACACCAAGTCAAAACACATACTTTCGATGATAGCATACACGTGTTTTGACTCGTGTGTAGGCGCAAGATGAAAGAGTGACAATAGAACTCTATGCATTATCCGAGTCAGAGACAAAATGTTTAGAGTACACCCATAGGGGCAGTTGGCAGGTGAAAAAGACAGCCCACACACACATTTTGTTCGCTTTATGTCTTTCAGTTGTTCGCACAGGGAGTATGCTGGCACACAACTTTGCGAATATTCCCCACCATTCACTGCTCTTTATAGACTAACGAAGTCCCGTGTTGAGGCACAACGGTGGCCAGGTCACGCTCGTTGCAAAAGAATTCTCTAAATTACATGTGGCATGTGCAAACAGCAATAAAAGTAAACCTAATTTGGTAGCAGAACATGTCTCCTCACCTACAAGTACAAATCACCCAAGATACACCCCATGGTGTTCAAACGAGTGTGTAAACACACTGATTGTGTGCGTGTAAACTTATCCACTGCAGCTACTAACGAGTGTGGCTATGGCAGACTTGTCTGTTGCCATAATGCAGCATGGCAACCTTTAGCTTAATAATCAGTTGCAGATGGAGACAATTGCATAGTCGGCTAACTAGCAAATGTCTGCTGACAGCCTAACAGGAACCCAGTGCATTCATCCCTATCACAGTAACCAGGGACAAATGCATTCGCATAACACAATATTATCAGGCAACATAATACGCATGCTGAGCGTGCTACAACAATACTTAGTCCTTTTGGCATCTAGGCACTTGGGTAATTTTGGACACTAGTTGACCTTATATCGGGCAAACCTAAAGAGCGTGACAAGAGCTCCGGGTAGCCCTCTGTATATTCGGGAATATATAATCCTGTAAACCGTACAGGTGTCTATGGACCTGCCACATATAAGGTTAATTTGAATATAATTGAGAAGCATATCAAAAGGAAGTCGAGATAAATATGGCGTTGGCACGTGGAGGGCCGGCCCAGCCAAAGCCCAATCACCACTGACTGAGGAAACACTCGGCAACCTGTATATAGCAAACTTGTACTAAGCTCAGAAATTATGACTCTCATCAACAGTGGTGGTTGTGCAAACCTCTACACACTGCCAGTTAGGAGTGGGCAGTCCTGCTAGGGTGTAGCCACCGGGACCCCACAATAAAAAGTCTCATACTATCAACACAGGGCACTATATGCACTAACCATTGTTCTTGACAAAGACAGACGGCTATAGTGTGAAAGAAAAATAAAACATGCGGGCAGGGAGGAAGATTTATCGAAAAATTGGCAGAGCCATTGTATGGCAGCACAATGCTGGAAGAAAATGGGCAAAAGGTCAGTAACTGAAGGTACAGTCGACTCATCACGCAATCATATAAAAACAACAGCTAAAAGTCGTATCAACTGTGCCACCAGTTGAAGTAAAGGAGGATAAGGTGACCATGCTCAAATGCGTTATTCTTCTCACCCTACTCAGTGTTGTAAGTGTACCCTTGTCTTCTTATATCTGCACCCTATTGTTGTACATTTATACAGGGAGTGAGAGGGCTTGGAGGTGGCCCGGTTTTTGTGGAAACAAACGAGATCTTGCTGGAAGAAAAACCAAAATTTAACTATGAGCCTGACAAGAGAGTTCTCCCATCAAACTACTGCTCCTACCGACAGTGCCCGAGTTTCACAAAGTTCAGCTGGAGCAAGTGCGACTGTATTCCTTGCTTCCAGCAGTCATGTCCCCTGGGCCAGAGTCCAGACCCCTTTTCTTGCCGTTGTAGTCCCGCGTGTGGAAATCTGAACTGTCCCGTCAACCAGAGGGCAAACCCTCTGACATGTCGCTGCGAGTCGGCCTGTGGGAACGTTCGTTGTGGAGGAGGACTTATACTGAACGAGGACACCTGTACCTGTGAGTCTCCCTGTGCAAACGGCCAGTGCAGTGCATTCCAGTTGAGTTGTGGTAATGTACGCTGTAGCCCACAGCAACAGTTGAATGAACAGACCTGCCGCTGCGAATGCCGCTCGCAAGTTTCCTGCCAAATTGGAGAGTTTTTCAACCCACTGTTCTGCCAGTGTGAGTCCGTGTGTGGCAACATCTTATGCTCTGCTCCCCAAGTTTTGAACAACCTCAACTGTCGCTGCGAGTGCCCAATCAGCCGACTCTGTGGAGCAAATGAACAGTTCAACCCACGCACATGTCAGTGTGAGTCTCAATGTGGAAACATCCGGTGCAGTGTCTCTCAGGTTCTCAATCCACTCAACTGTCGCTGTGAGTGCCCAATCCGCCTACCCTGTGGAGCAAACGAACAGTTCAACCCACGCACATGTCAGTGTGAGTCTCAATGTGGAAACATCCAGTGCAGTGTCCCTCAGGTTCTCAATCCACTCAACTGTCGCTGTGAGTGTCCAGCTGATTTACTGTGTGGGCCAAACGAACCGGTCAACCCTCGCACTTGTTCTTGTGAATCTCAATGTGGCAATGTCCAATGCACTTTTCCTCGTGCCCTCGATAGTGAAAACTGTCGCTGCGAGTGTCCAGTTCAACTACCATGCAGAATAAATGAGTCCTTCAATCCTAGTACTTGCCAGTGCGAGTCGACCTGCGGAAACACCCAGTGTTCCTTTCCACAGCAGTTGAATCGACAGACATGTGCCTGTGAGTGCCCATTCACCATAACATGTAGCCTCGGACAGACTTTTAATGACCGCTCCTGCCAGTGCGAGTCAAACTGCAGGAACGTTCAATGTCCCTTCCCGCAGAGACTCAACTTTGCCACCTGCGAGTGTGAGTGCAGCAGTCGACAGGCATGCACATTCCCACAAGAGTTCAGCCAGAGAAACTGCAGGTGCGAGTGCCCAACAGTAGCTAGCTGCTCCTTCCCCCAACTGTTTGACTTCCAGTCATGCGAGTGTAGGTGTCCGGGTAGCACATCCTGCAATGCCGGCTCCGTCTTTAACTTTGGCACCTGCCAATGTCAGACAATAACAATACAGCCACCACCGACCGTACCCTCTGCACCAAGCATACAATTTCCTCCGCCTTGCAGACTCACTGAGGCAAGCTGCAACAGTCAACAGATCCTCAACACAAGGTCGTGCACCTGCGACTGCTTCGCTTTCTCCCTCGCGATCCCCGGGAGGCAGGGGTTTGCAGGCGTCCCAGCTGTGGCTCCCCAGACCTTCCCACCACAGGTTGGTGTGGCTGGAGGTGGTTTCGGTGTGGGTTTGGTGAGAGTAACGGGGACCAGGGGGACTAAACGCAAGGGGACACGACGCTCCACACGTCGACGTGGCAAGAGGGCAACAGACGAACTGGACGCGACCGATGCAATGTTAGAAGAAGACATCCGTGAAGATGACGAGATCAACGACGCCGCTGGAGATATGGACGCCAGCAAGATGTGGGACACAGATGAACCAGATATGACTGCCAGAGTGGTGAAAGAAGACAGGGATGTAGACGACAAGGAGATCAAGACTCGGTATGTTGCTAGTAGAGTAGAAATAGCTTGGGTGTAAACTCTCACATAGGTTTCACATATGTCAGGAAAACCAAAAGCAATACTACTTGTTTGTATTGTATATTACATTATTTTCCTCAGGGAAAGAAGGCAGTTCTTTTTCAGCACTCGAGGAACCCGCAGGACCCGCTGCACGGGAAGACGTCGGACAAGAAGCCGCTGTTTTGGAGTAGCTCTACCTCTACCCCAACAACTACTACTCCAAGGCCCAGCTGTGTTTCCTGGAATGCGGGGTGTTGCTGGACAAGCCTCAATACCCCCTGCAACCACACTCGTTACCCAGTGTCCTGTTGGAACAACAGCAGATATCTTCTCCTGTACCTGCATCTGAAAGTACTTTTAGTAGTGTGTAAAGGATATATACCCAATAATGTAGTCATATTAAGTTGGAAATGTTGAGCTACAATTGGTCATGCTATGGCGGTAGCTAAAGACAGTGTACTCTCATAGAAGTAGGGGGGGTAGAGGGAAAACGGGGAAACAATGGTCATTGTGCTCTATGCTAATTGGTCCCACGTGGCAATCATGTCTGGAAAACAGTCCACAAACTTTGACCAAAATGGTAAGGGGAGGGGGAAATGCAGAAGACAATATGCCACAATAGTCATTGAGATGTGGCAGCAACAAGTGCCTGTGGCAGATGCTGCAATGCCATTCAAGCACAATGGGACAGATGGGCAAAAGTCAAAATGTTAAACACCACACTTTACACGTGTAAGAGGCTTCGGCTTCGACGCGATATATAAGTGATGCAGTCTGCCTGCTATTTACTAACTCTTGGAAGTAGAAGAAAGGAATCATGAGAGCTGTAACTATTGTGGGTGCAGCTCTACTGCTATGCCTGCTGGTGGTTAAGGTAAGGACAAACCTTTTACTGCTTTCAGTGGTCAAGTATAATGTATTGTGTTAGGGTTCTTTTGGGACTGGTCCCCGACTAGCTTATGCAGGAGCTCCTATTGGTGGTTTCAATGGTGGAAATGGCAACAAAGGGTACATCAGGTACAACAAGAATGGCTACCAAAACTACGGATATAGAAACAGATACAACAATGGTTACGGCAACTTCTACGGTTACCCATACTACAACTACGGCTACCCGTACAAGTATGGAAAGCCGGCATGCGGCCGATTCCAATCGTGCCCTCCGGGATACTACTTTAACACTCAGGGCTGCGTCTGCGTCCCACGTGATGCATCCCCTCAACCTCCACCTGGACCACCACCACCTCCAGGTCCAATTTTTGGACCACCTCCTCCAGGTCCAATTCTTCCTCCTCCTCTCCCTCCTTCCCCTCCCACACCACCGCAGCAGGAATGCAATCTAGCGGCATCCAGCTGCGTCAACATCCAGCGCCTCAACCTGGATACCTGTGCATGTGATTGTCTCGCCTTTGTCCTCGTCACCCCTGGGAGGCCTGCCATCCCTGCCGTGCGTGGCAGATTCGAGGAATCCACTGGGAGGAGCCGAACCACCACCAGAGGCACCAAAAGCACTAAGGGAACCAAACGAAGGGGCAGGGATGCTGAGGACCTACTAGAAGATGAAATGTGAGTTTAAAAAGAATGTGTCAGTACATGAGGGGTAAATTCAGTTTCTAAATGTAGCCCTTATAAACTGCCATATTCCTTACACGTAACATGCTAGATACACCAACAGCTCTTTATGATTCACACAGAGATGAAGGACGTTTCAAGCGCCGTAAGAGCCGTAGCAGAAGCGGGAGCAAGAGCCGCGGGAGCAAGAGCCGCGGGAGCAAGAGCCGCGGGAGCAAGAGCCGCGGGAGCAAGAGCCGCAGCAGCAAGAGCCGCAGCAGCACTAGCAGGCGTCGGGTGTTCATACCAGGCCGACAGGGTGTCCCTGCCGTTCCTCCCTCAAGGAGACTTGTCTCCGAGTGCCCGTCAGGATACCAGCCCAATCCAGACACCTGTGTCTGCCAGGGCTAGGCTGCAGGACACTCTCACCTTGAGAGATATTGCAACACTGACATTAAAACTAGCATACTTGAGACAAACTTTGATTAATGCGCATTTTGAACTCTGGAAATAATTGTCTTTGTATAAGCATCAACTTGGGTGTTATGAAAAGTACTGGGGGATGGTCTATAGTACAAGTAACAAATTCTTCATCTACATGCGTCATCGAGGTCAAAGGCGAAACACAATGCTGGATCCAAGATTTTGGTTCTAGTTTATGAAAAGAGAACAATGAATTCGGTTGGAGACAAAGAACACCAGAATCCAGCCAAAATTCACTATAGATCACAGAGAGGAGGCCAAAACAGGAAGTCAGTGCCTGCTGCCTAGCTATTGACAGCTTATGTGCTGCAAAGATCAACAGTACAACCACAGACAACACTGAAACTGTATGCACTATCCATACCCAAAATATTTTTACGCATTTATGTCAGAACAATTTAGCACAGGCCTGCCTACTAGCTCACAATACATTGATGGTTACAACCACACATTAATTATACCTCCTGGCATTGATCTAATCAATAATTTAGATCAAGTATACAGATAGTGCCAGCAAAACCTTCTTGAAATATCTGTAAGAGTCAGGATTTGTACCCTTAACTCCTATGTCTTGCAGTAAGACCCTAGTATGAAACCTTTACTAATTGTAAGGGAATGACATTTGTAACTTGCCCCAAAAAAGCGATGGATGTTCTAAAATGCTTTCCGTGCTATGGCGTGGGGTATTTCTTGACCATGTGTTGTGGATCAGTGGGACACCTGGTGCAATAGACACTACAGCCTAAAACTGCGAGGCACGAAGTACGTGTTTCCTCCAGTCACATCTTACATGGTGCCGACAAGAAAGGAAACAATTACGTCTTTTATTCCCATAAAAAGAGAAGCCCTGCTATCTAAAGATGATATGACTAGGCGTTATATGGCACTATCTTGAGAGGTACAGAACAGCAAAACTTCCGTATAAAAGTGCTTGAAACCAAAAGGCAGCGCTCCACGGCAGTGCTGCACAAACACTGTGAGGAAAGGGCACCAATGAAGGAACTCTGTGTTTCAGCGATAGTACTGCTCTTTGTCATTGCAGCTGCAGACTTTGCTGTAAGTACGATTCACAACTGCAACACTGTTGTCTAAAACGCGGAAGACATCTTTCATTTATGTTCACTTTCACCTGTTCACAGACTGCAGATGGTTACTGCCGCTACAAGAGATGCAGAAGTGGAGAAGTTTTTGACTACAGCAAATGTGCTTGCAAGCCAGCCACCACCCAGTGTCGCACAAACCTGAGATGCCGTGGAGGAAAGGTCCTCAACAGGGCAACCTGCAAGTGCGAGTGCTCAAACAGAATCCAGTGTGCAGCACCAAAAGAGCTGAATCCTTCTACCTGTCGATGCGAGGGAGGAATACCCCAAGTCTCTTGTAAGAGTGACCAGTTTTACAACACCAGGACACGTCGCTGCGAGTGTAAAAAGAAGAACTGCCAAAGGAATCAGAAACAGAACAGCCAAACCTGCGACTGTCAGTGTTCCTCCACTTCCAGATGCAAGGTGGGGTACGTCTTCAACAAGGACAGCTGTAGCTGTGTGTGCCAGAGAAAGAGCTGCCCAAGCAGTCAGGTGTTTGACTCGAGATCGTGTGGGTGTGTCTGCAAGGAAAAGTCATGTCCCAGAAACCAGAACTTTAACTCTCGCACATGTCAATGTGAGTGTGCCAACAGGCCACAATGTAGCCGATTTCAAGACTTCAACCCTCGGACATGTCAGTGTGAATGTGAACAGAGGCAGTGTCCACGCAACCAAGTTTTGAATCCACAGACATGCCAATGTTCATGCAAACCAGGTATAAGCTGCCCTCGTAATCAAAGGGTCAACCCACAAACATGTCAATGTGAATGTGCCAAGAGGCCACAGTGTAGCCGATTTCAAGACTTCAACCCTCGGACATGTCAGTGTGAATGTGAACAGAAGCAGTGTCCACGCAACCAAGTTTTGAATCCACAGACATGCCAATGTTCTTGCAAAGCAGGGATAAGCTGCCCTCGTAATCAAAGGGTCAACCCACAAACATGCCAATGTGAATGTGCCAAGAGGCCACAGTGTATCCGATTTCAAGACTTCAACCCTCGGACATGTCAGTGTGAATGTGAACAGAAGCAGTGTCCACGCAACCAAGTTTTGAATCCACAGACATGCCAATGCTCATGCAAACCAGGTATAAGCTGCCCTCGTAATCAAAGGGTCAACCCACAAACATGTCAATGTGAATGTGCCAAGAGGCCACGATGTACCCAATTTCAAGACTTCAACCCTCAGACATGTCGGTGCGAATGTGAACAGAGGCAGTGTCCACGCAACCAAGTTCTGAATCCACAGACATGCCAATGTGAATGTGCCAAGAGGCCACAGTGCAGCCGATTTCAAGACTTCAACCCTCGGACATGTCGGTGCGAATGTAAACAGAGGCAGTGTCCACGCAACCAAGTTTTGAATCCACAGACATGCCAATGTTCTTGCAAACCAGGTATAAGCTGCGCTCGTAATCAAAGGGTCAACCCACAAACATGTCAATGTGAATGTGCCAAGAGGCCACAGTGCAGCCGATTTCAAGACTTCAACCCTCGGACATGTCGGTGTGAGTGCGAAAACAGACCGTGCCCACGTAACCAGGTTTTGAATCCAAAGACATGCCAATGTTCTTGCAAGCCGGGGATACGCTGTTCCCGCAATCAAAGGGTCAATCCCCATACATGTCAATGTGAGTGCGACAAGAAGCCACGGTGTAGCAAATACGAAGTCTTCAACCCCTACGCTTGTCAATGCGAGTGTCAAGGCAAATGGTGCCCTGGAGAGCCTGGCTATTATTACGAACCCTACTGAACCTTCCTGAAATACATGAACTAAACGAAATAAACATTCATTAAGTGACTCTTGGTACTGTATACACATGATTGAACAGCAATATAGCCATTAATCATTGAATATCTTCACGTGTCAAAGACAACATAAAAGAGAGTACTGATATCATTACTAAGTACGGTATATATAATTATAGTACTTAGTATATTATAGGGATTGGCATGGTACCTAGCATCATAGATGTATGGGGCTATGATAGGGAGTTTTGTTCATCATCATATTAGACATGCATAACTAAAAAATAGATAAAGATAAAGCCATGAAATTTTGTAGGAATGTAGGTATCTATAAACGGATGTGCATGGCCATACTTAATGTTGTTTACTGTAAACAACCCAGGCAATACATTGTAAATTGTACACATGTGTCAGTGTAACTCACAAATAGTAAGAGCTATGTGAACGAAACTTTGTATACATAATGTATTCAATCACCAACATCAAAATAACAACAATACATGTTTAACAAATAGCCTCAGCCACCTTTCTTGACTTTTACACGTCTCAAACTTTCTAATGGTAGCACGTATAGAGATGAAACTTGGTACGCATGTATAATTATTACATCGCTTCCATGACAACAACATGTTTCCATGACGACTACATATTGTTTGAACAACAACAAATGGCTTCAGGCACTTCTCCTCAAACTTGAGCAGTTTTGAGCACGCTGACACCCCCGACCCCATCACACAATCCCTATATTGTTGCCTAGGTTAAACATTCAACATCAGGACTTACAGCTAAAGTCATGCTACTGAGTAACCAACACCATTACCATAACAATGTGCAGCTTGGAAAGTCATGCTACTGAGTAACCAACAGTCCAAACAGAGTTTACGAGTAGCACACCAGGGAACAATATAGGGATTGTGTGATGGGGTTGGGGGTGTCAGCGTGCTCAAATCTGCTCATTAACCATGCTTCATGTATCCCATCCCTATCTTGTCTCCCTTTCATTTTTATACCATCCCTATAATTATACCTCTTGTTTTAAATTCGCAGGATTTTCTAGGTTGGGCTCAAATTACACAAAAAAGATAAAACACACGTGATCATCTCCAAAGATAACGGTGAAAATGATTCTGGATCCAAGACCATGGTTCAGAGTTTTGAATCACGGGCAAAGTGAACAATGTGTATGGGATTCAAGACAAAGGACACGGCAGGCTCCCAGCCCAGCCAACTTTCACAGAAAGAGAGGCCAAAACAGGAAAGCAGAGCAGTACACATGATAATTAGCCAAACATTATTATCTTGTTATTGGACGCAAACGTCTCAGCTTTTGAGAATATTAACAGACAAGGTTGGAATAATACCATATTCACCCCTCGATTCGAGATCTGCGTCTTTTACACGTGACTGACATCATATACAATACATGTGACAGACAGACTTACACACACACACACAAGAATACATAAATTAAAACTGCACACTACTAAAGTGACTGAGGACGACTAAACTGATGTCTTGTGTCAGTATTTGACTCCGGGCACAGGTTGCTTCAGTCGATACTTGACCAGAGCGTTCTCAAAATCATAGTAAGAGTCAGGGTTGTATCCAAAGTACTCCTGCACCTTGTACTCACTGCCTGATATCTTGGAGGAGGTCTTGCTCAGTGATCCTATGTATGGAGGTGGTATATCAAGTCCAAATGGTTCAACAGTGGAACCTCCGATAAGGGACCCTCCAAGATAGGGACGACCTTTCTACAAAGGATACTTGTTTCAACCCCATGCTAATACTTTAGTGTATTATATTACCTCCGAGATAGGGACGACCTCTCTACAATCATTGCCCCATAGTGTCCCTTGTTCGGAGGTTCCACTGTATAGTATTGTATATAGCAAACCAATACCATTTTGCTATTTCATAGCTTCTTACAGATAACCTTTATGATTCACACAGGTATAACAATGCGGTGTCGTCGACCATTGGGACAGTTAGCAAATTGAAACTGACATAGCCAAAACCCAATCTCCACCATAAATAGCGCCGTCAACAAAAGAAACTGCAACAAAGAGGGGCATTATGTCATTTATTCCCGTAAACCGTATATGAACATTATCCTTGCCCATGCCACCACACAAGATGTCAACATATGGTGCCTTGCATAACCTAGTCATACCATCTATGGACAGTAAGGATTCTATTTCTTTACGGGAATTATAAAAAGCACGCCAAAACGTTCTCGAAGATGCGAGGTGGAACTCTGCAGCAGTGCTCCACATTAAACACTGCGGGTGTAAAGCAACAATGAAGGCACTCTGTGTTACTGCGATAGCACTACTTATCGTCATTGTGGCCTTAGATTTTGCTGTAAGTATGACTTGCCCTTATTAAGAACTGCCGGTTTCATTTTTATACTTGCTGCTTCCATTTCACAGGTTGCGGAGGGTGGTAGCTGCCGCTACAAGAAATGCAAGAGTGGACAGGTATTTGACCGCACAAAGTGTGCATGCAAGTCCGTCACCTCAACCTCCCGGTGTCGTAACGTGCGATGTAGCAGGGGAAAGGTCCTCAACAGAGCAACCTGCAAGTGCCAGTGCTCACTCCGGTGTGCAGCGCCAAAGAAGTTGAATCGTTGGACCTGTCGATGCGAGGGAGGAACACCCCAAGTCTCTTGTAAGAGTGAGCAGTTTTACAATACCAGGACACGTCGCTGCGAGTGTAAGAAGAAGAGCTGTCCCTACAATCAGAAACAAAACAGCCAAACGTGCCGTTGTGAGGGAGGAATACCCCAAGTCTCTTGTAAGAGTGACCAGTTTACAACACCAGGACACGTCGCTGCGAGTGTAAAAGAAGAACTGCCCAAGGAATCAGAAACAGAACAGCCAAACCTGCGACTGTCAGTGTTCCTCCACTTCCAGATGCAAGGCGGGGTACGTCTTCAACAAGGACAGCTGTAGCTGTGTGTGCCAGAGAAAGAGCTGTCCAAGCAGTCAGTGTTTGACTCGAGATCTGTGGGGTGTGTGTGTAAGAAAAAGTCATGCCCCGGGGCTCAGATCTTCAATCCCAAGACCTGCCAATGCCAGTGTAGGTCAACACCAAGATGTAAATCAAACCAACTCTTTAACAAGAACTGGTGCAAATGTGAATGCAAAAAGCAGCAGTGTCCATCCAACCAAGTGTTTGACTCGAGGTCCTGTGGGTGTGTGTGTAAGAAAAAGTCATGCCCCGGGGCTCAGATCTTCAATCCCAAGACCTGCCAGTGCCAGTGTAGGTCAACACCAAGATGTAAATCAAACCAACTCTTTAACAAGAACTCCTGCAAATGTGACTGCAAAAAGCAGCAGTGTCAATCCAACCAAGTGTTTGACTCGAGGTCCTGTGGGTGTTTGTGTAAGAAAAAGTCATGCCCCGGGGCTCAGATCTTCAATCCCAAGACCTGCCAGTGCCAGTGTAGGTCAACACCAAGATGTAAATCAAACCAACTCTTTAACAAAAACTCCTGCAAATGTGACTGCAAAAAGCAGCAGTGTCCATCCAACCAAGTGTTTGACTCGAGGTCCTGTGGGTGTGTGTGTAAGAAAAAGTCATGCCCCGGGGCTCAGATTTTCAATCCCAAGACCTGCCAGTGCCAGTGTAGGTCAACACCAAGATGTAAATCAAACCAGGTTTTCAACAAGAACTTGTGCAAGTGTGAATGCAAAGAGAGGCAGTGCTCAGCTAACCAAGTGTTTGACTCGAGATCATGCCAGTGCGTGTGCAAGACAAAGACGTGTCCCAGGAATCAGAGATTTAACACTCGCACTTGTCAATGTGAGTGTGCAAGCACTCCCCGATGCAACCAGCTTCAATTGTTTAACAAGGACACTTGCGGGTGTGAGTGTAAGAGCAAATCCTGTCCCAGTAACAAGAGACTCAACTCAAGAACCTGTCAGTGTCAGTGCTCCAAGCAGCCCAGATGCACACGCTACGAAGACTTCAATAGTGAAACCTGTCAATGTGAGTGTGAGAAGAGACAGTGTCCACGCAACCAAGCAGTTAATCAGAGGACTTGTCAATGCGCATGCAAGTCAGACATCACCTGCCCTCCTAACCAGAGAGTCAACTCTCGCACATGTCAATGCGAGTGTGCCAAGAGGCCACGATGTACCCAATTTCAAGACTTTAACCCTCGGACTTGTCGGTGCGAATGTGAACAGAGGCAGTGTCCACGCAACCAAGTTTTGAATCCACAGACATGCCAATGTTCTTGCAAACCAGACATCACATGCTCTCCAAACCAGATTGTCAACCCCAAAACGTGCCAGTGTGAGTGTAATCCTGACATTAGTTGCCCTTCCAATCAGAGGGTCAACCCCAACACATGTCAATGTGAGTGTGTCCAAAGACCACGGTGTAGTCGATTTCAAGACTTCAACCCCCAGACTTGTCAATGTGAGTGTGAAGACAGACAATGTCCAAAGAACCAAGCAATCAACCCACAAACATGTCAGTGTGAGTGCAATCCTGGGATTGTTTGTCCCTTCAACCAGGGGCTTAACCCAAAGACATGTGAGTGTGAATGTGACCCCAGCATCAACTGCCTGCCCGGTCAGATACTGGACCCACAGTCATGCCAATGTGAATGTGACCCTCTGCTGCAATGTGGGCCATTCGAAATCCTCAATCCCCAGACCTGTGGCTGTGAATGTGATCCTAGGATCGTCTGTCCACCTGGCAAGAGACTGGATTCCTCCACCTGTGAGTGCGAATGTCAGGCCATCCCCATCTGTGCCGGTAACTCCATCTTCAACCCCGACACGTGCGACTGCCAGTGCGACTCAAATATTGTCTGTCCGGCTAACCAGCGCCTGAACCCCTCAACCTGTGAGTGTGAGTGCCGCAAAGTGCACAGGTGTCCACCAAACCAACAGTTCAACCACGAAAAGTGCCGATGCGAGTGTGACCCCACCACTTATTGCAAACCAGGCTCCATCTTTA